ACCCGTGGGCAGCTCCTGGCTTTGCCCGTTTGTCCATCTGTGTACTGACAGGACAGCACCCTCAAAAGCAGTTTCCTTTCTGCGGCCATCATGCTCACAAGAGCGCTCAAGTGGGAGAGCAGCACCCAGGGCTACAAGTTCACTCAGATACCAGAGCTTATTCATTGTCTCCTGGTGAGTGACCTCTGCAGGGGCCCTGCCGCCCAGCGGCTGTTTGCAGGGACCACCAGGGGAGAGGAGGCTGAGTGGGCAGGGCCAGGCGCCGCCACCGTGCCATCTCCCGCTCTGCCCTTCCAGGGCGTCCTTCAGAAGGAGCCCAACTTCCTGGCCACCCTCTTACGGCAGAAGATTATATTGGTCATCGCGGGACTCAGGTAACTCCCTCTTGGGGTCCAGGAATGAAGACAGGCCAGGTCCTCTGAGTATGGGGTGAGGGTCAGTGTGTGAGAAGATGCAAGGATGTGAATAAGGGTCAGAGTGGGTGGCGCTGGCACCAGGGACCGAAACTGTCGGACAAGCTGAAGGCAGGGGCCACCACATTCTATCAAGGACAGTTAGGCTTACTTTGTTTATTGTCCAAGGTAGGTTGTTAACATTGGTGCAGAGTGAGCCCTGGTCCTGGATATATACACAGCCCTGACCCTGTTCACATGCTGAGCCCTGACCCTGGTCACATGCCGAGCCCTGATCTCAGTCACATGCTGAGCCCTGACCCTGGTCACACGCGGAGCCCTGATCCCGGTCACATGCTGAGTCCTGACCTTTTTCACATATTGATTCCTGATCTCATTCACAGTGCTGACACTGCTCCCTGAAGAATCCCTAAGTTTTCTTACAAATACATGTCAATAAGCCCACAAGAGAAGTGAGTGAATGAGTTGGGCTAGCCCTTCCCGGTCCAAATGAGCTCTTGAGTCCTCACCACACCCCACCCCAAGCCAGAGTCTCAGGCCTGCTTGTAATCCAGACCCACTTCCACATTTTAAGTTATGTAAGCCTCTCCCTGCTAGGAACCCGCTTCAGCCAGGCCATTCCTTCCTAGGATGGTGGGCTGTGTGAAGAAATCCAGAACCTTCTCTGTGTTTCTTCCAGCAGTCTGCGGCCCAGTCTTAAGCCCATGGTCAAATCCAGGATCCTGCAGACCTGCCTACAGAGCTTGTACAAGCTCCCACCCACGGAGACACTGGAAAGCTGCTTACCTCCGCAGGAGTCAGTCCCAGATGTCATGGTGACTGCCCTGTTCCGGGGCTTTTCTGTCTTCCTGGGGGGCCAGTTCTGGGGGCTGGGCCAGTTTACTAAGCAGAGGAGAGAGCTATGCACTCACCGATTTTCTGTCTGCTCTCCTGTCAGGGATGAAAGAGGGTTGCGGAAACCGCCCCCCAATTGTGGATTTGTCTCTTTCTCTGGCGGTTCTGCCAGGCACTGCTTCGTTTACTCTGGTGCTTTGCTCTTAGGTCCATAAACACTTAGGTTTCTATGTCCTCTCGCTGAATCAACTCCAGTGCCGTTCTGAGAAGACCATCTTTATTGCTGGTACTGTTGTTTGCTCTGAAATCTACTTTGTCTGAGGCTAATGCATCTAGTCCAGCTGTCTTCTGACCGCTGTTGGCACCGGCGGCCTCTCTCCATCCTTTTACATTTAACCTCTTTGTGTCATTATGTTTAGAGTGGTTTTTTTTGAAGCATATCATTGGATCTTGCTTCTCTATCCAATCTGACAAGCTCTGCCTTTTAATTGGGGGAGAGGGGTTCTAGCCCCTCACACTCAGGTGGTTGGGGCTATGCTACCATCTTATTGTTTGTTTCCTATTTGTCCTATTGATTCTTTGTTCTCCTTTTCCTCTCTTTCTGCCTTCTTTTGAATTAACCAAACTTCTCCATGATTCCATTGGATGTGCTTTTTT